TCTCTCTCTCTCTCTCCTCCTCAAACACCTGTGCACATAACCATATTAATACAATAGCATGTTTACACTCACAAACAGGCTCACAGTCATATGCAAAATATAAACAATGCTTCTCTACCTTAAAATTACAAAGTTTTCTCAGACATTTTTGGCCGTTTTGAGTTACTAAGATCATGAATGTTAAACTAGTAGATACGCGAACAGCATACATGTATTCTTATAGTGCGGTAACAAATTCATGGCTCGACTTATAGTCAAATATCTCCTCAGCTATCCAACATAAACTCTCCAGCTTTTGCACAGCGACTTGTATCAATTTGTCTTAACAGATTGATATTTTTGTAAAGACCTGTTAGCTCTATTATAGAAAATTTCTTAAGAAATACTAATTAAAAAATCCTAGTGGGTAGTTTGTTACTGATTTTAAAAGGTTTACAGCTGGGACGACATTGCTTTTAATAGCAAGTCCGTCATTTTTTTGTGTAATCGCAATTTATTGATTGACTGATTGATTGAGTAAGTGTCTTACGGCACTATAGACCCGTTAAAATTATATAAATGAAAAATAATTGTTAACATCAACACTGTTGAGCTAGATATATATATATCTACTGATATAGATATATATACAATTAATCTACTAATCAGTACTACGAAATTCTAGTAATGACGTCACGCGTTTCGTCTCATCCTCCTCCTCAACCCAAACAGCCAGAAAGGCCGAGACGTCCTCAAACTGGGCATCGTGAGCAAAGCCGCCAAGACCACGCCCCGCGGGCCCTACCCTGGTGGCAACAACGCTGCTGCCTCCTCCTCCTCCTCCTACGGGCAGGGTCTGGGGCTGGGCAACATGAACTTCGAGGACCCACAAGGTCAAGGTCAGGGTCAAGGTCAGGTGTCATCCAGCTACGCCAGGCGGGCGACGGTGAGGACCGCTCAGGGCCGGGCTGTCACCACCTACACAGGCTACCCACGACGGTACCCGTCCGGTGTACGCTACAGTTTTAACACCGCCAAGAAGAAGGCCGTGGCGAAAGACGGGGTCGTGGCCTCGTCCAATAAATTCTGAATCTGTAGGCTGATCCGAGGCACATGTCAAGTTTGGGTTCATGATTTAAGTTTTAGTAAAAAAAAATGTTGGTTTATTTTTTTTTTAATTACGGCACTTAATTTATATATAT